AACACAGAGAACTGTGGCATTGTACATAGAAGTATGCCCCACTCACTGCCCCTTTCAGGAACAAGGCATCATAGGTTCTGAGGCGAGGGTCATAATCCTTCCAGACATCTGCATTTCTTCTGTTGCTGCATGTCAATCAGTATCTATTTTTTTATGGCACCTTGTTGCCAAGTATTTAACGGAATTTACGAAGTCCAAGTGGGGTTCTTTGGCTTGTTATGAAACATATAGTGCAAGTTAGGACATGTCTACTTGCAGTGCAATGAAATCCAGTGCAACAATTTCCTGATCTCATAAGTGGCATGACTTTGGTGGCTAAGGTCTAGAAGCAATGCCACTGGATCTGTGTGATGCTGTGGCAAAGTTAACTGGTCCCACATTCATGCAGCAATTATGGTATGTCTGTAAGCTGTTCTTCAACAGAACTGTGTTAACATAGGTGGTAACAACATGAGTGTATCTGTCTGAAAGTTATTGATACGGCCTTAAGTGCTCAGGAATGAGGTCTGCAAAAGGCATCCCTCCATGAGGGGAGCCACGCTGTTTGCCTGTAGCAGAGAGGCTAAGGAAGGAAAGGAGTCTTATAGATTGACTGCTTGGACTTTGGCATGGGACAGTTCTGTCTGTTGAGTATTTGTTGAGTATTCACAACTGTGAACATGTTCCTGAAGCATGACCACCAACTCTCTTCATTCAAGAAAGTTAAGTAAGGATACATGTTTATACATGTTTCCTTTTTTTTTTTTTTTTTTTTTTTTTTTTTTTTTTTTTTTTTTTTAAACCAGCATGGTAAATAATGGTGGGGTCTAGTTCCTGTTCCACTGCATATTTAGCATAAATCAGGAAATTCTTCGGTGAAAAAGACTCTAGGCCCCAGTCTTTTCTGTTATAAGCTTCCACAGTCATAATCACACTGTTTCTCTGCCTCTGTCATCAGTATTCCGTATAAATTTGACAGCTGCTCCAGGAAGAAGCACGAATGTCCTCATTCTAGAGTACCTTGCTGCCTAGCATCTCAAGCAGTCTCTTTCAGCAAGTTAGAAAGTAGTTGAATTCTAATTGTCATAGGTGAGTGCTCTAGCCATTAAGATACTAGACAGAAAAGAAACAAAACCATGATCTATGTAGAGCTCTGTATATTTCACCTGATAAGAAGGCATCTGACAGGTGAAGCCTGGAGGGAAGACAAGTAGAAAAGCTACCCTGTGAATCCTGTTAAAGCTTAAGCTTGAAACAGTTGCTGAACTGCCCCAAACCATCAAGGCTGAAACATTTCTGAGCAGAAAGAGAGATGTAGGCAGCTAAAGAGCTTTGCAATTAAAAGGTTATGTGATTACGGATTTTTTGTGTCTCCAGGGATAGGTGGTAACTGAGATAAGTGCAGTCTTTCCTGAAGTAAGCACTGTGTCCACATAGGTAAAAACTGGGATTAAGGGCAATTGGAGTGATTGGCTGAGGAGAGTAGAGGACTTAGGCCTGGTAGAAGAATATCCTGAACTATATGGATCTGGCAAAGAAAAGATGGAGGTTAAGGCCAACTCAGTCTTAAGCAACGTTAATCACATTTCTGATGAAAATGTTTATAGGTCAGCTGTTGCCTATATGAAATTCTAGAGATAAATTAAGGTATTATGAATAACCAGGCAGAAATGAGGGTTAGGCGTGACATTCTGGTTTATCTTTTAGTTTAATAGCAGGCATTTATCTTTCTCTCTTATTTCCCAAAACAATCTAGTTTCTTGACAACAAGAGGTAGCATAATACACTTATAGAAGAACCAGATGGTTTAATCTTGTCCCACTTATTTGGTGTTAACATAGCATCAGGTATCTGTACACTTCCCCAGCAAAGATAAAATGAGCACTTCTAGTCGCTCAGCTGGAACTGGCTCCTGACTCAACAGTGAAAGTTGATGGTAGAGTCTGCCTTGCATTCTGCAGCTGTACAGGCTAGTACCTTGCTTGCATTCTGCCTGTGCATATATGTAAAGTATTTGGTTGTTTTTGTTGTTGTTGTTTTTTTTTTTTGTTTGTTTGTTTGTTTTTGTTTTTGCTTTGTTTTGTTTTGTTTCTGAATTGCACGTAGAACTGAAGGAATATAGGATATCTGTGTGCCTTAACTAACCAGACCAGGTTACTTAATCTTAGCTGTAGTCCCAGAAGCAAACTGAAGCTCATTAGAAAGTGAGGCACAGCACATTTCTCCATGCAGGAGGGAAGCCTATGGACTTTACCAGGAAAAAGAATTTGTTTTTTCAAGGTATCTTTTAAAAAAAGAAAACCAAAGTGAAGTTCAGGTAAGGATTCTTCTGCTGTTTCCTTATGTGCAATACTCAGACAACACTGAGTGAGAATAGGTGTCTGACAGCCATGTTCTTTGCAAGTACCCATGGCAGGTGTTTGGAACTAATTCCTGGGGTGGAAAAAATACACACAAACTAAACCAAAATCCAAACCATTACCTGCAAGTATCAATATCTATCCAAGTATCAAAACAAAATTATAATTTTTCTCATTTATCTTTTATACAATCCTGTTGACTTCAACAAAGCCCTGACAACCCTGACCTCAAGTCAGTGAAGCATGTTCTGCCTTGGAGTAAAACTATTTTATTAGTGCCTGCAGTATGTTTCTGAAGTTATAAGGGTGGATTTAGCTCAGGGGTTTCTTAGCCAGGCCTATGACTAGGATGTCTCATGTAAAAAAAATGAATTACACAATTTTTTTCCAGAAAATAGTGTTTTCTTTGATTAGACTAATTCTCAATATTCTGTCTAGCAGAGACAAAATGTTGAAGGTCTTTCTGTTCTTATGTATTTCTCTCAGCAGTTGTTGACAAGTTACAATTTTCTATCAGGCCTTAGCATACCTTTGCCCTCCCCACAGTATCCTCTCAAATTTTACAGAGCAGAACTCATACGGAAGACATCCCCAGATATAGTTTGTACATTTTGTGCATTTCTTTTGCCCCTCATAGCATGCAATGTCAGTCCCATTTTGCTGCTGTAATCTTTTTCATCATCTGTCCTACTCTTTGCAATTATTTACTCAAGTGATGAGTAAATCACTGTTTCTTTCATATAACCTTATTGTCATGCTTCGTTTAACTTTTTCTGCAGTTAAAATTGTCTTTATTACATTATCTGTGTTGTTCTGTGATAATGGAGTATCACAGTGTTCTGTGATATGAGAGCTCTGTCTGTCTCAGCTTGGGGCTGTTGTAAATGTCAGCTGAGTGATTATATATTGGATGCAAAAAGCCTTTTCCTGTTGCATAAGACTAAATCTTAGTGAGACATTTCATTATCCTAATTCTTTACAATTTTAATATTCAAGTTAATGTTTTTAGTTTTGAATAAACTATATCCTTCCTATATGTACCTGATACAAAATTATATTTCAAAAGATATACTAAAATGTCCTATTTATAGAATATTTATGCTAAAAAAATAATGCTGAATAAGCTTACACTCCAATTATTCCATATTTTTAAATATAGTCCTAACTTTAAGTATGAGAGCAGTCTCAATCCTGTTTTGACATTGCTTTTGTTCACCGTGCTTTTGCTAAGTCTCTGATTTTGAAAGCACTGGTTATCTTTAAAATTGAGAGAGAGAGAAAAAAAAATGTAGGAAAATGTATCTTTAAATTAAAATTTTGAATGTTTATTATATAAATTCTATAAATTCTGGAGACACGCATGGACATGCACTTGAAACAACAAAAAATCCTCTTCTCCTACTCTACTGTAATTTTCTAATCACCACTGCCCCCTTTGTGCTTTCTGTGGGTAAGCCACAAAAGCTTTCTCTATTAAATACTGCCTAATTGTGCCCAGTTATATTTTAGTTCACAGCAGAGAGATCCAGGCTGAGAAGACATTGAAATAAAAACTGTCTTTCCCTAACATCTGAGGTTATCCAGAAACAGAATAACTGTTCTTCAATTTGCTGCATACTTTCTGTAAAACATTAGTGCTATGAAAATTCACCGAGGTGTACTGAAGCACAGGCAACAATGACCCAGTGGAAATATCATCTGAAAAACAAGGCAACGTGAGGCACTGTACTTTGAATGAAAAATTGCTTTGCTTCTTCTTGTTTTTTAAAAATGAGCAGAACCAAGCAAAGGAGAGTTTTGCTGAGAAGACTGTTCTTTTCAATTCTTTGAGAAAGCCTGAGGCACACTGATGATGGAAACCTGCTGTCATGCTTCTGTGTTGGACTGTATAAATGAATGTTATTCTGGTAGCAAAACTTGGTTAAAGCATACAGTACAATGGAAGATGATGTATGTATGCTCGTTACTGGAAATGTCTGTGTATATTTAGTTGTGTGAAATTACTCACAGAAGTAAGAACTGATACCTAAACAGTTGTAGGTCTGGAAAATTTTAGATATAGATCAGGAATCAGCTACCCACTCTTTCCTGGAGGTGCTAAAGAGAAGGAAGTATAAATTTTTCTATGATATCCATCTGATCCCTCTGATCTTCTTGTGGTAGCTTTTTTCAGGTTTCTGTGTTTTATTTATTAATCAAATTCTGCTATTTTGAGAGTCATCTGTAAAGAAAAGTTGTTGAAACTTTTTTCCTTCCTCTTTCTTTTCCACCCTAGTACTTTCTCGTGAAGGTATTTCCACAGAGTTGTAGGAAACAGCCACTGTGCTTGAGAAGTTTGGAAGAAAACTCACCTACATTGCTGACAAGATCATTCAGCTCCTGTGATCTTTTAGCCTATATTAAAGACACAGTTAAAGCTTCAGAGATTATTGTGAGAGTGAAGAAAATTAATCACATCTCTGTTAAATGTTTGTGTTTGTAACATTTACTTTATGAATCCCAGAAGCGGATTTTGCAGCCACTTGAGGATCTGGACAGTTTCACAAGGAAACTGTTTCTCAGCTCATTCTGGCATTCCAATAGCATCTTGCTTGTAAATCCATTCCTCCAGTCTGCAAGGAACTTGCTCATCTCCTGGCTATTACCTCTTGCGGTTATCTGCCAGCTCAGAGCATGGGCAGAATCACTTTGCAACTGTCTGTGCTTAGCTGTGCAGACAGCCCTGCAGGCAGGCAGGTGTTGTTAGTAGTGTGCACGGCACAGTGGCCTACGGACAGACAGCTCTCCCTCTTCAGAGGTAGATGAGTATTTCTTGTGAATTGCTTTCTTTGCTGTTCCCTCTCTTTTCCCCACTTCTATGGTCTTTCAAGTGTGCTGCACCTTCAGTTTACCTACTGGAGTTCAGACAGTGGTGGGTCTGAGAATGAAATATTTGACTGGAACTGGCACTTAACTTGTGGCAAGTGGTAGGTCTCAGGAAACACTCCCTTTTCCTAGCACTGTTTTCTTTGTCTCCTTTTTCACTGTCTCAATCTTTATCTGTCCTTTATACATAATATATGATAAGACAGCATAGATCTCCAGATTGACTTGATTTGTTGTGATGTGAGGTTCCATATGAAACAGTTCTGTTATAACTGCCTGTGGAAGCGGGCCTGACTGCTTATGGTTCATTTGCCTTTGGTCTCTAATAGTTCACTTTGCATCATCAGCCTCATAATTTTTAATGCTTTTTCAATTGCAAATCTATATGAAGAACAACTTGGCTTTTGTTTTTGCACAAGGGCGTAGAAAATCCATGCTACAAGATGGGATTCACACAAAGAACTTCCATCTGTAAAGAGATGGAAATGGAATTTGACAAAAATCCCAACAAGATCAAGTAGTTTTGGTTTTGTTTTGGTTTTTGGTTTTGTTTTGTTTTCAGCTCCTCATGAGGCTGAATGCAGCTCCAGCTGCTTCTGGTATATTTTCTACAGTACCTCCAAACTATAGCCAACCAGGGAACACTCTCCCCAGGCCTAAAATAGCTTTAAAATATAATGTTGCAGTTGTATTTTCTATCTCAGCCACTGTGGGAGATGTAACTTACCCTTCAGAGAGGACCTCTGAGCATTAGATGCTAATGAAAACAGCTGATACACATTCATGCTTCAGTCTGCAGTGTAATCATTTCAGCAGTTGTACATTTTAAAAGCATGGTGACATAGAGGTCAGAGACTGATATCCAGGGCAGAACGGAGTTAAGGAAGAGGATTAGCGTCAAATAGGTTTTAAAAGCACTGTTCACATTTGGGGAACTAAATGTAATTTATCTAGTTCTGATAATATTAAAGAGCAAAGCATAATGTGACCCTTGAGAGAACATATCAAATTTAGTATTACTGAAAATCTGAAATAGATGTCATTGCTGTATTGCAGTCCTTGCATGAGATATGTGATGCCATGTAGGTCTCTGAGTATGAAACATACTTTGTGTAGTCTCATGAATTTCCCTGATGACATGGGCTTGTCTTAGAGATAGTCATCTATTTCTGTATTTCACTAAGGCAGGGCAAGCATGAGAGAAGTACGTTTGCTCAAGGTCAGCCTCCAGCCTTTCTCACAGGTGATAGAGAAAATATCCTGGTCCTCCTGCCAAGACTTCACGTGCTTGCACAGCTAGCCCTGCTCCACCTCTGGGCACAAAGGTCCATCAGGGTGCCTGCCAAGCACTAGAAAATTTAGCTTGGCTGATAACAATTCACAGATAGATTTGCAGGTTACCAGAGAAGAAAGCAAGCTGTTTGTTGCTCTTCTTTTTCTCTTAAAGATTATATGTAATTATATGAATTTTCCTTAAATTATTTTACCAAAGACTATTTTCTCTGGAAGAGGTCTTCTAAAGGAAGTCCTTTACCAAGTATTTCTCTTCTCAAGAGAAGAGAAGGCTCCGGGGAAACTTTATAGCAACCTTCCAGTACCTAAAGGGTGCCCACAACAAGACTGGAGAGGGACTTTGTACAAGGGCATGTAGTGGTAAGAAAAGAGGTAATGGTCCTGCTGCAACACTTGCTTAGATATAGTGATGAAGTGGCTGTGGAGAAAGATCAATTTGATTTAAAAAAATATTAAAGACTTTGACTCTTACTGATCTGAATCACTTGTCAGAGGAGGAGATTCTGAGCCATACTCCACATTGCTGTACTGCAAAGGGGACTGCCTACACCTCTGTAGCTAATTCACACAGGTCTATGTGCAACACAGGTGAGATCAGCAGGAGACTGTTGAAAGCAATACAATGTCTCCCCTAATTCTGTTTTCAAAGGGGAAAGTACTACCTCTTCTGTGGCTATACATTCTTCCATGTCCAAGTGTACCTACCAGACATCTTGGAAAGGTTTGGGATGCCAACAAACTCCTGATAAGCAGTGCGAACTACTACAGGGTCACATTTTCCTGTGTAGTGAAAGATTTGTCTCAATAATTTCTTCCCTACCATCCCACAGAATTAACTTCCACGTCATTCTCCTGAAGATGCTCAGCCAGTCCAGTGGTGCTTTAATCCCATCATCTGATTTCTTAGTATTATAAGCCAAACAAGTGTGGAAGGGTTGAATACCTAAGGTGTATATACAGATAACTGGAGAATAATTAAAACATTGTAATTTATTGTTGATTTTAAAAAGATGAGCTGGATACTCTTTAGACAAGGGTACTCATACAGCTCTGGAAATATGTGTTGTTACATGGTACGATTATAATTTGTATCTTTGTGTTTATTAGTATTTTGAATCATGTGTTTAGCCCCTTCTCTGTAACAATACATTTCATTTACCATAATCTAGTATAATTTTATGAACATAATGCATTTTCCAACTAACAAAGGTCACTAGGTAGTCCTGTATCTTCAGTGCAAGCTTCCTGGGGCATCGTCTGTTTTGTTGTTTGAGTCTGCCTCAGTGAGGGGTCCAAGTACACAGGGCTGCAAAATGTGCTTCAGTTCAAACAGTAGTATAAAATTTATTGTAAGTTTTCATATTTACAGTGAAAGCTATCACATAACTGGACTTTGTCTACATTGTGAATTCTTAAACTGACAGGAATGACTATAGGCCTGCATTTCCAGAAATGTATCCCAAATTCAACTGATTTAGCTTCTTACTTTCTGGAGTAAAACAAAACAAAACAAAACAAAACAAAACAAAACAAAACAAAACAAAACAAAACAAAATAAAATAAAATAAAATAAAAAAATAAAATAAAATAAAATAAAATAAAATAAAATAAAATAAAAGAGAGAGAGAGAGAAGAAATTAAACCTCTTTCCAGCAAATAGCAAAAGTTATTTAATTTTTAAAGTCATGCTGTTTACCAGGTTCTTCCTATACATCTGTTGGAAAGAGCTGACTCTGTCCTGCTGCACTACTCCAAGCATCAGTCTGGGGCAGCTGCATGTGTGGTACCCGCTCCTGTGCCATGGGATCCCCAGCTTTAGCTCCAGCACAAGGATCAGCACCCACCACAGGTAGGTACAAGGAGACAAGGAGCAGGCAGGGGATCCACATGGCCTTAATGGTATAATGTGGTTTCCACATTTACCAGCGGTTTCTCTGGGCTAAGAGAGGAAGATGAGAAAGGCAGGATCTGTGCACAGGAGAGAAGCTGCATTCTTTTGTCTGTTGCCAGTGCTGCTTGCAGGAGGAAGCTGTGTTATGAGCTCTCCAGGTGAGCAGTTTGGAAAGAAGAGCCTAAAGAGCTGCTTGGTACCTGTTGAAATTGCCTGGCATGGCATAGTTTGTACAAATGAAACCATTTGCTTCATCACGGAGAAATCATCACACAGAAATAATATCTTCAGATAATAAAAGGATCTAATATTTCCTGGTAATTTGTCCCTATCACCCCAGACACCCTTTATGATATGACGGTACTTTGTCTTCCTTAAACAGACAAGTAAACCATACATAGCCTGAGGAAGAAGGTACCCTTGCTTGCGAAATTCAATGTATAATAGCTACAGATATTTTGGGGTAAATACTATGAGGGAAAGATTTTTATTTTTTTTTCTTGTTGTTACATACTGTGTTTACACAATGCAAACATAAAAGATAAATGGGATAAAGGCACGTGGCTTGTGACCCAGATAACATGACATATCTATGCAGACTGAGACCCACATTTGCAGAATCCCAGGAGGAATTTCTGAAGGCTGCTGCTAGCTCTTAATATTCTTATTCCTGTTTATGCATCCTTGTATCTGCTCATTGAGCAGTCCTTTTCTCCTCTGCAGAGGTATCTTGGTTTGCTGTTTCATCTTTTGGTTTGTGATTTATCTTTCCATTTCATTTCTTTAGTGTTAGTATTTGCCATTCTCAGCACTTTTGTAGACTTTTTCCCCCATCACAGAATCACAGAATTGTAGGGGTTGGAAAGGACCTCAAAAGATCATCGGGCCCAACCCCCCCGCCAAAACAAGTTCCTTAGAGCAGGCTGCCCATCCAAACTCTTTGTCCTAATTTCCTGTTTCTGATATTCTGATTGCCTTCTTTTACATCCCTCCATTTTCTCAATTTGCCTTCTAGAATGAAAACCATTTCTCCTCATAAACCTCCTTCCTCCACTTTCCACTCCCAACATTAGCACTCACCCCCACCCCCACGCAGATTCCTGTTCTACTACTGCCTGACACCCGCACACAGAAACTCTGTTTACTACTCATCACCCCTCCCCTCCAAAAAAGATACTCTCAGACATGCTGTCACCTTCAGAGACACTTATACTCCCAGGTCTTCTCACTGACACCTGCACTTCACCACACAGTGCCATATTTTTGCACTATATCCTTCACCCTTCACATCCTTCATCCTTCATTCTTCACCCACCCAGATGTGTGGGCCTTGATGAGCTCGTTCAGCTGTAGTCTGCTCTAAGCAGATCACAGAAGTTTCATTTTCATTTTCTTTTTCCTTTTTTTTTTCTTTTTTTTTTCTTTTCCTTCATGGTCAATATTTTGCATCATCAGAGTTGTGTCGCATATGAACCTCATACCATGAACAATGTGAAAATCCTCAAATTGAAAGCACAAATAAATCAAATGAATTATTTTGTTCTTTCATTCCCCAGAACCTTGTGCTCACCTTGAGTTGGGACAGGTTGCTGGGAAATCCCATTGCATTGCAGAGACTCCCAGAGACTCCAGATCACTGATCTGCTCCGACATGACTTTTCTATTATTTTTGTTTTATTATTATTATTAATACAATTCTCTTTTTTATGTGCTTGCTTCTCACAGCACTGTGCCTCTTTCATAATGTGCTTAACAAATAAAAAGAGAAATTGATTCAGCAATAAGTAAAACATCGTTATATTTAAGCAATTTGTTTTATACATACATGTGGCTGTGTTTTGGGAAGCTGTAGAGACACACAATACTTTTTAATTCCCCCAATTAGGTGTGGAAAGTACAGAACTGCAATGAACAGGGAGAAAATTAAACATTAGAATTTAAATATTTTATTTAAATAAAATGGGAAGAATGGAAATCTGCAAGCATTTGAATTGCAAATTGCATTTGGAATTTTTTTCACGTTTACTCAGCTGGTGAAAGTGTCAACTCTTGACATTTGATAATGTCCCTAAACCCTGCACAGTCTAGAAAAAACAGGATTTTCTTTGTGACTGGGTGTTGTGGGACTGTTGCACAGCACTCAGGTGTAGACTGCTGAAGAGCAACATGTTCCTGGCACTTGGATGCGTGTTGCAACTGCATACCAACCCTGTGTAGTGGCAACACCAAGACACCATCCAACTCTTCTCCATGCCTCCTTCTCTCTAATCCCTGTTTTCCTCAGAAAGTATGTGCAGTTTCACCAGACTTACAGGAGCCCAGGTGTATTCACACTGAGGCATCATCTGGGTAGAAGTGGACAAACACCACTTTAAATACTACTTATGCATTTAAAATCATTTAAATGCATAAGCATATATTCTTCTTCCATAAAATATCTCATTTTATTTTCTTCAGAAACATCGCTGACCTTTGGATTTCTCCTATACCATTTCTCCTATTTTGTCCTGTCATTACCTTGAGATGCTTTGGAGTACATTATTGGACAGAATGAAGGCTGAAAGAAAGTAAGGGGCAATGTACTGTTAGAAATAGTTTGGCTCTTTGGGGCCTCTGAAGAAGGAGAACTGGACTGTTACTGGAAAATATTTTCCTTTCCAGGCAGTCCCTAAATAATACAAATAAAACTTTGGCTTCTGAGCCCAGATATGAACTCTTTTTGTATCTTCTACCCCATCTTTAGTGTACATCTTTATTGAGAAGCTCTAGATATGGTATGTTCTCATGAATATAATGCCTTTCATTTAAAGTTATCTTTCAATAAGAATAACCTGTAATATGACTCACCAATTGAATCGTTTGTTTTTCTCTGTACAGGTAATGTTATATTAGGAGCCTTTTCATAGTTTGGAATAGCATGAAAAATAAAATATCAGTTTCAGATTATATCAGGATTGCCAGATTTAGCTCACTCTGATGTAGCATCAACTGTTGCACTAGAAAAAAAGAAAGAAGAAAAAATAATAATAAAAAGAAAACGATGAAAGAAGAAAAAAGAAAAAAAAAAAAGAAAGAAAAAAGAAGAAAGAAGAAAGAAAAAATGATAAAAAGAAAAAAGGATAAAAAGAAAAAAGGAAAAAGCAATGTAACTTGATTGCATGATAATTTTCTTCATTTGAAGGGGATTATACTAAATGGGATTTCAGAGTATGTGAAATCAAGAACTATATGAAATAGCCACAGTGAAATCATATGAAACTATTGTATTGCCCAAAATACTGCTGTAAAATCAAAGCTCAGATTCAATGTGCTAATGTGCTGTGGAAATGGTCTCAAATGAACTTTGAGATTTTAAAGCTGTTCGAACTGTAAACTCATTCAAATACAGGGTAGAGGAGACAGAAGCATGGTCATAGCCTTTTCTACTATATCATACAGCAGGAAATGGAATGACCTCTAGGATTTTAGGACTAAGCTTTATGAAAAATATATATATATATAAAATAAAATTACACATCTACTTGTAATCATAAATGGTAGGATTAACCCCAAATTAAATGCTGTAGGCTATAAACTCAGTATAGATATGAAATAGAAGACTCAAACTGATTACCTTAAGATAATTTATTTAGGGTGACTTCTTTCCAGCAGTATTCCTTCTATATAAAATCTGTTTATTTTGTATTTCTTATGAATGTATAAGATGTCATTGTAATTAACATATTTTGTTAAGTAATGTAGATCTGTTTTTCTCATTTTAGTATGAAAATTTGTCCATCGATCAGACCACAGAATATGTAACTTATAGGTATGTTGGTAACTCATACGATATTTTATTGTAAATATGAGTATTTTATTGTAAAATATTAGTTTAGTTAAAAAATGTAATAACCACTGTTAAGTGTTTAGGGTAAGAACCTGAGATTTCACAATGGATATCTTACTGCTCCAAAGTGAAGATTTATTAGTACATGTAATTAAGCCATCAAATAAAAGCATGCAGTCTTTCATTTTCTGATGTATGCTATAGTCAGCTTGAAGGTCTTAAGTTTCTTAAAGACAAATGTTGGTACAAAAGATCAAAACCATCACTGCTAGATACAGGATTTATGAAGCCGTTGATAAATGAAGTCTACACCAAGGAATTAGTAAAAATAATTAAAAAAGAAATCCCCTTCCCTCAACTCATAAGTGAAAGAAAGACAGAATAATTTCAAAAGAAAGCTATGACATAGTATAAGGGATTCTAATTGCTACATCAAATTACAAAGGTAACTACCTCATTAAAATTTCTTTTCAAAATTCATTTCTATACTATAAAATATACATCTATAGCAATTACATAAAAAGCTATGATCCTGGTAATCTTTTAGAGAATCACTTAGCCTTCACCTGGATGCTAATATGCATATAAAAATGTAATGATGACAACTAATACTGGTTCTCTTTCAAACATAAAACATCAAATTGTTGTACATCCAATTGTGTTATTTATTGGATTATTTTTTCTTACTGGAACACACTCTGCAGTGATTAGGAGTGCTTTGATATTTCGCAGACAATTGAATAGAATTTACTGTACTGAATGGAGTAGGATTGATGGAGGCAGAACTCTTCCATCTGTATATAAATCAATGAAGTTAAAGCCTTTTATATATACAATATGTATATATTGTAAGAAGGTCAGGGTCTTTCAAGTTAAGCCCTTTTTTTTTTTTACTGGTGAATGACCCTTGACAGTAAAACGTGACTCCTGATATTGGAAGAGACCTCTCGAGGCCATTGGATGCAATCCTGCTTTTTTAAGGGGTTTTAACTGTCTTCAAGCATGGAGACTCCACAGCCTTTCTGGACAACCTCTTCCAAAAATTCTAAGTATTTGTTTCTCACATCAAGTTGGAATTACCCTTGTTCCACCTTTGGTTTGTTGTCTCTCATCCTGTCCTGTTGCACATCTGAGAAAAGTCTGATTACATCTCCTCAACACTATCCTTTTCAGTAGCTACAGGCTACAGGTCTCCCATTAAACTTCTTTTCTTAATGCTTAATTTACACAGTTCTTTCAACCTTTTTCTGTATGTCATAGAATCATAGAATCATAGAATATCCTGAGTTGGAAGGGACCCTTAAGGATCATCAAGTCCAACTCTTGACACCGCACAGGTCTACCCAAGTTCAGACCATGTGACTAAGTGCACAGTCCAATCTCTTCTTAAATTCAGTCAGGCTCGGTGCAGTGACCACTTCCCTGGGGAGCCTGTTCCAGTGTGCAACCACTCTCTCTGTGAAGAACCCCTTCCTGATGTCCAGCCTAAACTTCCCCTGCCTCAGCTTAACCCCATTCCCGCGGGTCCTGTCGCTGGTGTTAATGGAGAAAAGGTCTCCTGCCTCTTGACACCCCCTTACGAGGAAGTTGTAGACTGCAATGAGGTCTCCCCTCAGCCTCCTCTTCTCCAGGCTGAACAGGCCCAGTGCCCTCAGCCGTTCCTCGTACGTCTTCCCCTCCAGGCCTTTCACCATCTTCGTAGCCCTCCTCTGGACACTCTCCAACAGTTTCATGTCCTTTTTATACTGTGGTGCCCAGAACTGCACACAGTACTCGAGGTGAGGCCGCACCAGCGCAGAGTAGAGCGGGACAATCACCTCCCTTGACCTACTAGCGATGCCATGCTTGATGCACCCCAGGACACGGTTGGCCCTCCTGGCTGCCAGGGCACACTGCTGGCTCATATTCAACTTGCTGTCTACCACGACCCCCAGATCCCTCTCTTCTAGGCTGCTCTCCAGCGTCTCATCGCCCAGTCTGTACGTGCAGCCAGGGTTTCCCCGTCCCAGGTGCAGGACCCGGCACTTGCTCTTATTGAACTTCATGCGGTTGGTGATCGCCCAGCTCTCCAACCTATCCAGATCCCTCTGCAAGGCCTTTCCATCCTCATGAGAGTCCACAACTCCTCCAAGTTTGGTGTCATCAGCAAACTTGCTCAAAATACCTTCTATTCCTACATCCAGATCGTTTATAAAAATATTGAAAAGTACCGGCCCTAAAATGGAGCCTTGAGGGACCCCACTGGTGACCGCCCACCAGCCTGATGCAGCCCCATTTACCATAACCCTTTGGGCCCTGCCCGTTAGCCAATTGCTCACCCATCTTATGATGTTTTTATTTAGCTGTATGAGTGGAACTTGAGTACAAAAAGTCCAAATGCGGTTGCAGAAACTTATTCAGGAAGTCAAATTCAAACCAGGAACAGAGCATTTGTTTTCTGGCACCCAACCCTATGCTTTAAATAGAAAATGTTCCATCCTGTGACAACATTTTCAGTCCAGCATTGTCCGAGGAATGGATTGATGACCTCATAGGACTTTTCCACCACCAGCAGCTGGGTTTCCACAATTAGTCATGACAACTTTGTTGATGCTGTGATTAGTGATGGCTGCCTCAGAGTTTTAGGTGTGGTTATGTAAAATGTCTAAAGCTAAAGTTAGCTGTGGAAGAGATTTACTGGCTCATCTGACCTATACCCCTCCCATGCAGCATTGCTCACAACAGTATGTATTTTTTGTGTTTCTATGGGTATGACTTCCACCTTCTTGGATGTTCAAGGTTCCTTCATTTACTTCAAGTAGAGAAAGTATGCAAAGGACTCAATTCTACCACTTAATGCTTCTCCCTCTCATTAGGTCTTCCCAACAGCCAATCAAAGCTTTCTCCACTTGTACTTTTTCCCAGGTTTTGTGTAATACCTATGTGCCTTGTCTGTCAAGGTGTACCTTCTTTTTCTCTTTCTTACTAGAAATCCCAACCCCATAGGAGTAATTGCCACAGGTGGATTCAATCTTTCTCTCTTCCATTTAGAAATAAAACAAAACACCTTCCTGTCTCACCTAACTCAGGACACTGTCTCTGAGACCTCAGACATGGAACCACCTGCTCCATTCCTGCAGGAGTCAGCAGCAGTGTGTTATGCAGGACTAATGTTCTTAGACAATCCCAGCTGATGCTGGGATAATAGATTTGACCACCACCTTCCTCTTTGTCCCAATGGCTGTTTCCGTGTTAGACCCAAAGGTTTAGATCCATGTTGGTGGGAATCAGGAAAAATCCAGAGAAATGTAGCTTGTTTTGGTGAAATAACCTCCTCCGGTAATTTCCATCATAAAGGAATAAATCTGTATCACATAGTAGACTACTCCAAAGGAAAACAAAGCAAAGGAAAACAACGTGCTTACATTTTAATTCTGCTTGAGGGACAATGAGGTTATTTTTAGTACATGACTGTTTCATTAATTGCAGTTGCTACTGTGAATGACATCAAGCTAGAAAGAGGAAACTCTCTTCATGTACTTCCGTATAGGGAAAGCAAATAAAAGAAATATGTATTTTCCTAAGAGGTGAAACATTCTTTCTGAGAAGGCTGACTCTTAATAAAGACAGAAATATCTGAGTAAACGCGAAATATTTCTAAAGTGAAGCCTTTACATAAACTTTTTTTTTTTTTTTTTCAAACAGTTGTTGTTGTTGTTGTTGTTGTTGCTGCTGTTTTTCACAGCACTCACAGTCAAACAGACCAGCTAGTGCAGGTCATGCAGCATTTTCCACTGTAGGCAGACATAGTTGCTGTGTGTCCTTGTGGCCATGCAGCATTGACAACTGGGATACTGAAGATTGTCTCTCTATGGCACAGAAAAGAAATTCCTCTTCCTGTGCAGTAAGTAGATAGATAGATAGATAGATAGATAGATAGATAGATAGATAGATAGATAGATAGATAAATGGTGATTTCACTAAATTCTTTATTTGTATGTTGTAAGGGGTACAGGACCACAGAACTGACCATTTCTGAGTAAATGGTGACTTTGTACCTGGGTAATAGATGGCTGAAAATTTCATTAGTTAAAAAGCAAGCTGGAGCCTTTTGTCATGTTATGTTAGGTGACTTATTGAAAATTTGGTTTCAAATCTCAGTGGAGGAGTGGGGAGGGAAAGGGATGAAGTTAAGCGTATATATAGAAAGCAGCTGAATTACAAGACAATTTATTCATAGTCTTTTTAAAGTGCACCTTAGAAGAAGACTGAGTGCTAAAGGGAGCCCCAAGGTTTTCTAGGCTTGAGCTGGGTTTTGGAAATCTGTCCTAGAAGGGTGGCATCAGATTGTGAACATTTCAGTGAGGTCACTTGCCGCTCAGGAACAAAAGGGCAAGCCGTCTTTGTGACTGAGTTAGATTTAGTCTAGAATAGCAGCTTGGGCTGATCACAAGGCTCCCAATGTGTACAACTGCTGCATCTGCAACATTTGCTCTTACTCATTTAACTTCCAGTTCAGAGGAGACCAATCTGCGTCAGGGCTTTGTAATGGCATCTGCAACTCAAAGCAAACAGTAACTGTTCAGATCAAAGTTTTCCTCTGGTTTCAGGTTGAGTAGCCTCAATTGCTGATTATGGGTGCTGTCAAATTAGTGCTCAGTATGCACAATCATTCAACATGTTTATTTTTGTTCCAATCTAGACATACTAGTCAGAAATACCATTAATCCATAGAAGAAATCTCTTGCATTAGAGAAAAATTTTGATTATTAACTTCAACTTTGAGGATTTTTCTTTTTATTTACTGACTCAGGCAAACTTTTTTCTTGATAGGTCAGAGAAATACCAGCACGAGGCCTTGCACTTTATGTGTGTGAAAATGCTCTTCCAGAATGCATCCATTTTTTTAAGTGAAGCAATTGGAGCAAGATGGTCAGAAATTTTTGTTTTACTAATGAGATCAAGCTTTACTTAGGGGAAAAAAAGTCTCATTATTATTCTTTTTATAACTATATCAGTTTTCAGTTGAATACTAGACACAGTATCCGGAACACATAAAGCAGTATCCAGAACAAATAACTGCATAAGGCAGCAATTGCTTTTCGTTTCAATACTCATATTTACAAACACTGGATAATCGCAGGGTTCCTACTTTTAATGTGGCCCATGATATTAAATGATTTGTGAACTGTGAGCAAGCTTCTTACAAGTATTACAATGGGTTGTAAAAGTACTTCTTATTGTGAATTCCATTCTGTAAATTAACTAAGGATTTTATTTTCTATTTTCCCAAGCTTCTACTTGTATCTTCAACACTGTGCAGTCTCTCCTATAGAACAAAGCATACCTTAAAATAAAAAATGTTTCGACCATTGATTTTGCTGCTTTAGAAACACTACCTTTAGGAGGCAATATAGAAATGGAGGTAAAGTACTGTATCTTGAAATGGTCCATACAGTAGGAAGCCTTTTTCACATTACTGCTTGCTAAACCTTGTATATTTGTATGCCTAGCTTTTCAGTCTGCCTCAACTTTATTTAAGGATGAATGTTGATGAATGCAACTTTAATTAGCTCTTTGGTCTTTCCAGTGGTTGTCTATTGTGTCAGAATATAAATGATGTTAAACACTTTTTGCCGCTACAGTTAAGTTGGTCAAGAGTGATTATTTGGGAAGCTGTGTCCTCACAGTGAAGATTAATTTATTCATTAGTAGCTCATATAAGTTACGCTAAAACAGCTGGAAATTCTCTTGCAGTTTCTAAAACAAAATTCTCTTCTTTCACCCAGTGAGCAGAAAGCCCATTAATCCTAAATTAATTATAAGCAAGCAAGCTTCATCTTAGTAGCATCAAACTATCTGAAATTTGAAAATTGAAATAAATTAAGAAAGAGAATATGGCAAAGTGTTCCTTTTTCTCATCTGATATTTCTCAGATGACATCCAGAAATGGTTTGATTGACTTGTTTTCCTTGTACTTTTCCCGTACTTTTCTGATTTCAGTATCATTGTTCTGTGGCTAATCCACTACTTCTAACCATTTAAAAATTAATTGCATTAAGAAAGTATTTAGTAAATAAAATTGCCATAAAATTTTCATTAGAAAATATGCTGTTTCCCAAAAACTATTCAAACTAAGATATTGAACCTGAGTACCAAAAAAGTAAGTGGGTTCAGGCTTGCTCAGAAAATCTCTGCAACAAATTTACAACCCAGAAAAAGAACAAGGAAATTAAACTCATTGTTTTCTATTGAATATTTTAAAGGGTTAGGAAGAATGTCACTAACAGAGAAGCCATTTTTTTACTTTTATTTTTTCACCTGGAGTGTTTGTCATTTCTCTTTCCATGAGCCCCTCCAACTCACCATTTCAAAAATGTATGATCAGTAAGAAAATAAGAAAAGCCTCCAATAATTAAATTTTATACTGAAAAAAAAATAATAATAAAACTAACCAGACAACCAACCAACCAACATACAAACAAACAAAACCCTTTTCTTTCATTTCTGTAAAGGAAATCAGGGAGGAAAAAAAAAAAAAAAAAAAAAAAGAAGAAGAAGAAAAGGAAAGCCCTATGAAACTTTGCAGGAGTTGATGAATAGGTTACCTTCAAAAGGAAGATAAAAGATTACTGATAACAGATAACAAACAGTTTTATCTGTACATTTTTGGGATTTTGGCTATGACCCTAAGGTATAAGTCCACTCAGATTTGCTGCACTTGTTCAGAGAATAAGCAATAGCATCTGACCAAATGAACCTCTTTTAATCATAATAGTAGAGGACCAACCATTCTTATTCCCTTTTTGCATGTAACAATACATCAAGTATCTCATATTTTGCATTTCCTAAAACAGTGATAGGTAGGAATTTTAAGCCTTGTAGACTTAGATATACACGTAATTCCAGTGCCTAATCTTTGGAGGCTTCTTTAGAAATCCTGGCATAGAATGTCTTCTCTTGGCTTGCTGGTGGTCTGCACTTAAACTCTTGCTGTATCAACACAGCCAGAATGTGATTTGCATAGGTACTTTGCTGTCTGAGATAGGGAAATTAATTGTAATATTTTGAATGGAAATATGGCAAGTGCTCCAATAGGATATTTTCCATTTCCAGACCTGCAAGGAAGACAGCAGGACCCCTTCCCTTATTGCCTTCCATTCTTTCACTTTTGAGCAAAGGGAACAAACTACTTAGAGTAGAAACCATGAAAAATGACACCTGATTCTTATTTGCCATTTGTTTCAATTTTGATACTCCTTTCAGTTTGTTTCTTTCAGTCTTTCTCTTTATTCTTCCTTTCTAGAGAAATGTTCTTGCTTCCTGTCCTTAGATTCTTTTTCCTTCGTCCAATTTGCAGGGTTTTTTTGTTTGTTTGTTTTTTACATGCTGTCCCTTTTTATATTTTTCTTTTGGTATGCTTTCTTTCCATATCTTACTTGTTGCATGGCCTGATGATTTTTCCTTAATTTTTAGCTGTGCTCCATGATGCATACATTTTCCTAGGCTCTTTTTTTTTTTTTTTTTTTTCCTTTGTACCAGCCAAGCCTCGGTATGTTTTACTCTCTTACTGTTCCCCTAGAAAGCAATTTTATTGTCTTGGAGCTTCCTTTTCTGTTACCCTTCAGAGTTTATAGGAAGGCCCTGAGCACATCACAGAAAGGATGGACTTTCATATGAGTTTGTGTGATTTCAGCCTATAAATCCGGCTGCAGCCCTAAACTTAATTATGTCTTGGAATTAAGTTGACACTTGGTATTATGGGTTTGAGACAATTACACACTGCTTATTTACCTTTCTCAACAAAGACAGCTATTGACATGGCTAAAAGGAGGAGATCAGTTGTGTGGATTGACAACCTAATATGAAGAAAACCATTGGCAAGAATAAATCTTCATGGTATTATCTGCAGTAGACATCACAATGGTACAGAAGCTGTAATAACTCATTATGAGAAATTTAGGCAAGTCATGGCAATGTCTACTGGTCCAGTGCAGCTGCATTTGAAAGTCCAGAAATGGAGGATTCATTCCCACAAAATGAGGAATGCTTTTCATAGCTGCAAGTAGGCTCAAAGCTTCAAATTCCAGAGCTGTGTTTGGATGGAAGTTCTCCGACAGTTCAGAGTATAGAAAAGTGTCCCAGGCATGCTACTGGGCAGCAGATTTAAGGGAGGGAAACAAATGGCTCAAAATGACTGTACCAAAGTCCTTAGTAATTTTCAAAAGCAACATTTTACCCTGTGCAGAGGACAAATATGAGTCCTGTGTATCACCAACACAGCTTGTAAATCATGAGGTACTTAGTTGGGTTTAGTTGCTTTCCATAGTGTTCTGAATTTTATTCGGCATAACTATGGTTCAAAAAGATACCAACAAAGACCTTAAAAAAGACCTCCAAAACTTCCATTTATTGCTTTACAAACATAGCCAATGTTATCATAGTACTGATATTTCACTGCCTTGGTACGAGAGCAGTCTTTGAAGTGTCAGCCAAACTGGAGCCAAAGGTAAACTTAAATGAGAGAGATTACTCTGCATGTTGAATAGGGTTTGCATTTGAGAATTTTGATGTCATTTCCTGTTGTGTATATCACAGTTTATACAAAAGGTGAAGTGATGTAGTGCCATGTTTACAGCTTGCTTCTGAACATGGTTCAGAACATGGTTCTGAACTTGGTTCATGAACACAAACTTTCTCTGGGGTGTGAATACATGATTTTGAATTTGTTTTAGATCTTTTATTTGAATGTAATATTTACTCTAGTTCTTCTTTTCCACTTTTTTTATTTCCTGCCTCCCCTCCCCCCTTTTTTAATGCCAGATACATTGACAGTTATTTCAACATGCCAAATTTTCTACCATTTCTTTTTGTCTTTTGACTATGAGTCATCCTCTCTGCTACTTCTTTACTAACTTCTTCAATGTCTATGAACATTAAATTAAATTTTAATAAATAAATTAAATTTTGTTTAATTATAATTTAATTGATTTTATTTAATTATAATTTATTTATAATTATAAATAAAGTTGACATAAATAAAATGACATTAAATAAATTATTTAATTATAATTTATTTAATTATAATTAAAATTAATATATAATTTTGGTAAATTACGTTTTATCTGGTCACACAGGTTATTTCAACACTTTTCGCTTCATACAATTTTTGCACTTTGTCACGTTGAAATTAAATGGAGAAAAAAGGAAAGAAAAACATCTTAACAAACAAAAGCACTGCTATGCTTTAGTAATGTTTCTCCTGCAAATGATAGATGTTCAGAATTACAATCTTTAAATAGGCAAAGAACACGACCAGGGATGTAGTAGGTAATTTTACATTTTCAGTATGGAAATAAATAGCTTAATAGAAAAAGAACAAATTCAGAACAAAGTAAATTGTGGAAAGATAGTTTTACAAATAGGAATCAAAGTCGATATGAAAGTATTACAATAAGATTAATACAATTTATTATGCTTTCAGAATGGAAAACCATTGCTCAGAAGCTTTGTTCAGAGTGCTTTAAATTTACATATAAAATAAAATGTAATGCACACCATCTCCCTGGGGAAGCTGACCAGCTGGCTTACACTCACAGTATGTGAAAACTGTACCTTTTCTGGGATAGTTTGAAGTATGTCAATTCCTTTAAATATTTGTAACAATAATAATAATAAAATAATAATAATAAAGCTAGATGTTATCCTTAGTACATTAACAAAGACTAACATTTCCAAAAAGGACAAGGGAGTGAGGATGTCAGTCTTTCTGAAACTGGATGAACAACTCTTGGATTCTTTTCATAATCTAAGCAATACAGTTAGATCAGCAGGCATATACAAGCAATTATAATATTTTTTACTTAGAGTAGTCCAAATTAATTAAAGGCAGATTTATTTGCAAGAATTGTTGTTGTTGATCTAACCACTTAAAACTTTTAAACTAAGTATAAAGCTGAGATAAAATTCAATTTATAAGCAATTATTCCTTATATTTCATTAATGCACCACGTATACTCTTTGGAAGAGAATAACAAATATGAATCCAATAATTTTGTTTATAACTAAACTTAATTGGTCATTCTTGCGTTCATGGATGTGCTTCTCACATCATAGTGCTGTTTAAGAACTGGAGCTTGATGCTGGAAAAGAAAGAATATGAAAGTCAAGAGGGACAGATGTATTTTTTTCTGCCTGTGTAGACTTTCAGGAAACTAGTATCTGCATGCATTTGGATGTGAAAACACAAACATCTTCCCTGGTTTTGCTTTCAAGTCAAACACTGAACTCAGGTTGTTAAATATTAGTAACCCTTGGACTATATTCTGGTCCCATGCTAAAGGAAAGCTGCTGACAGAGTTTTGTTTGGGATATGACTGTGTTGCTCTGTGTGCTCTTTGATATTTATGTCTCTTGAGTTGTGTGCTCATCGTGCTGGTGTAGAGGCTTATAAGGAAATAATTTTCTTCTCTTTCCCTGAACTCCAGCAGATTGTATACACAGGGCTCAGTAGTTTGCTTGCACATGTTCCCCTGTATGCTTTGAAGTATTATTCCAGTGATGATAACAAAGGAAAACAGATATTGTACTCCCATGTCTGAATGGTGTTTTTAATAGGACTGGTATAGCAAAAATACAAAATCCTTTGGAGTCAAAAAGAAATTAAATGTAGAACTTCATTTTTTTTTTCCTCTTTTTTTGTGAGATGATTTGTTTTTTAAGGGTATCTTGGAGGGAGAGTGATTGGAGAAGGTTTGAAAAAATGACATTATTAAATATATCAGATGCTCACAGAAATTCAATAGATTTTTTTTATTTCATTTGTATTATCTGATATGTGGCACGCATACACCAAAGGAATTTTTGCTTTAAATAAGAAAGATTACCCAATTTAAATTACATTTGTTTCATCCACAAAATAATATAAAATTAAGATATGAGCTCAATAACAACTATGTAGCCAAGACAATCTCCATAAGCACCTATTTTTAAAGTTTACATGACTGATTCCTAGGAATATAAGCTGGACTGAAAGCTATTGTATTTGCCTTTTATAGTAATAAAGATACTAGGAATGAGGTATCATTTCAACTTATCTTATCCCTTTTTAATTAAAAACATCCTGCTTTTGGAGATAAGTGGCATCTCATCTGAAGGAATTTATGGGTAGAAGAAGAAACACTGTTCCATGTAACTCTGAGTCAGAAATGATAAAAGATTTACTGTAAACTGTTATGTATATGTAATCATAATGCTCTCAGTTTCAGTGCTTTAAATATGCACAAGATTTATATCCTTGGAAGACACCTTTGATTTAAAAATAATTTGATTTTATAATAATTTAATTTAAAATACATTTTCATACTTTTGGTACCAATGTTGATTTAGAATTTTATTTTCTAAAGTGTAAGAAAGTTACTTTACACCGCACTTACTATTTGTTTCTGTGTTGTATTTTGCCTGTTTTGGAGCATGTAGACAGTCTC